ATCATATCAGCCCTACCAGACCAGGATGAGCGGCCTATCAAGACCACCAAGAAAGTGACGGTCGATGGATGGGAAAAGGAAGAAGAGGAGGAGACACGGAAACTCCCAACTACGAGGCGTCAGTTGGAGCACATGCACCTGGTCTTTCGAACCAACCTCCTCATGGCCATCCTCTCCTTTCCCAGCATGCCGAAGCTGAACATCACCCATAGGGACCTAGAGGACTGGTACCGATGGTTCTGGGGAAAAGACATTGCGGATAGGAGACCGCCTCCCAGTGAACAGGTTCTCCTCTACGCTGAAAGGAACGCATGGAGGGAGATCCACAACTTGGTCTACGGGGGACTGGGCCTCAAGGAGGCCATGGCCCAACTACGTCAGGACACCCTGTTTTGGACCAGAGAGGTCTATGAGTCTGTCGCCCGGCAGAAAGGCAACAAAGGCTCCGGGCCTGACTCCCCAACACGACCAGCCAAGTCAAAGGGACGCCAACCTTCATGGTCACCAACTCAGCCACAATGGAACAAACAAAAAGGGTCACCCAAAGGGGGTAAGGCCAAAGGGGCCATGGGATCCGGAAAAGGGAAGGACTCTGAATGGCCTTCAAACTGGGCTAAGATCTCACCCAAGGGAGTACAGTACTGCCGTGACCACTTCCTCAAGAAGAAATGTCCCGGGAACTGCGGACGCTCCCACAACTGTCCGGTCCTCAAGAATGGCTGGGTATGCAACGCCGCACCCTCAGAACACACCCCAGAGCAATGCCCACACCGTTGACTCCTGGCGGACCCGGTAGCGTCTTGCACCGATCACCCACCAGGGTTGATGGACACCCCAACACCTGTCAAAAACCAAGCAACAACGGAACCGGGGGGGTCTCCCCCAGGTTACCCCAGCGACACAAGCACACCACATACACAACAAGAGGCAGTGGGCCGACCACTTGATACAACGAGGATCATGAATGGACAGTCCCTGCTTGGGCACTGTCCATGGCTCTCATCGGTTCCCAACAGGCTGTTGGAATGCCTTGTATGGACCACACAACCCACGGGGAGCCTCCAAGGGAGGGACATACTACTCCTCTACACCGGCAGGAGTGACGGAGGAGCCTTGGATGACATACTCATCCAACAACACCAGGACCTGGCCCCCAGGATCCTTGCCGTGGACATCCTGAGGCCACCAGAAAAGGGCCCAAACGACATATTGGATGATGAGTTTTACTCAACTCTCTGCTGCGCCGCCGCGAGGGGCCAGTTGTCATTTGTGGGGGGCAGCCCCAACTGCCGGACCTGGAGCATCCTACGATGGTTTCCAAAGCCTGGAGCGCCCAGGCCAGTACGAGGGCGTGATCCCTCCCAGACATGGGGCCTTGACTCAAATTCCCTGGAAGAACAGTTGGACACAGACAAGGACAGTATCCTTCTGCTCCGGCAACTGGTCATCACTGCCCTAGCCGCAAAAGCCAGGAAAAACAAAGGATTCCACTCGTTCTTGGAACACCCTCGTGACCCAGCTGAGTGTAGTCGGGCACCAACGGCGGCAAAATGTTCATCGATATGGGCCACTAGAGTCTACCAGGAGTGGGCCAAAGAGGTAAATCACTGCCAGATCCACCTGGACCAGTGCAGACTGGGACAAAGGGCACAGAAGAGTACGACCTTCTCAACGGACCTTCCAATTCACCATTGGCAAGGCCTCCAGTGCAACCACTCTGGACATTTGAGGCCAATGGAGATGACCTCCCGGGACCTCAGCAGGTACCCGCCAGCACTGATGACAGGGCTAGCAGCAGCAATCATCCAGAGCATTCCAAACACAGGACATCAACCCAACGGGTGCCAACAGGAAGGGGAGCCTCCAGGTCGGACGGACCGCTCCTCATCGGTACCCCTCTCCCAGACGATGACTTTGGATGACGACCCGATCATCGTTCAATCAGGCTTCAAGACTAGACCTCTACGGGATGGAGGAGGTAAGCCCTCAGCCGGGAGACGACCTCCCCCGCTCAGACCTCAGTCCAAGATCAGGCACATTGGAGACTCCATTAGCCACCTGGCAAAAGGATGTGCACAGGACGTCCAACGGTCCATCAACAGGGGTGAAAGAAAACATCCGTTCCCGAAGGAACTTCTTCAGGAGACACGACGGGCCATTGCCCAAGGGATCGGGCTGGACTACCAAATTGCTGAGGAGATGGAGCCAGGCCAGCCGTTCTATCTGAACCTCATCTCAGCCTTATCGGAAGCTGGTGGAGATGCAGATGCGGCCTACCCCACAAGGGTTGCCAAGGGAGTCCCCTTAGGTGTCACCACACCCACCTGGACATCACCAGGTATATGGCCTACCAAGGAAGAACTCAAAGGAGAATCCCCTCTGTGGGAGGACCTCCTAATACCCATGGGCAGGGACAACTACCCCTCGGCAAAAGATTTCTCCTCTCAGGTCCGACAGACCTTCGTGGAAGAGGTAGATATGGGTATGGTTGAGGGCCCACTCACACAGGAGGAGGCTGCACTCCGCTGTGGATGCACCCCAGATGAACTCTGCCCAGGGCCCCTGGCGGCAATTGACGAAGGAGATAAAATCCGCACAATCTACGACGGAAGCTGGGGCCATGCAAACTCACACATCCAACAAAACACAGTTGAGAAGACCACTGCACCCACAGTGATGGACTGTGTTCAAGCCATTCACTGGCTAACCACCACGAAGTGGGGCGGTAGCGTCTTGCACCGACCTGGCATGGCAACCTCCACACAAACAAACCACCTGGGCACTTTTGAAAGCAGATGTTTCAAAAGCACACCGCCGCATCAAGGTCCAGTCCAATGAATGGCGCTACCAGGTAGCACAACTTGATGGTGAATGGTGGATAAACAAGGTGGGTACCTATGGTATGGCCAGCGCCCAACTTTATTGGGGCAGAATGGCGGCACTCCTCCTCAGACTATGCTACATGATGTTTCCACACATAGACTGGGGCTTTGTGTTCGTGGACGATTTTTGTTGGCTCCTCAGGACGGACTCCGCCACTGAGGATACTGCAAAACTGCTTCTCTTCTTAGCAGCCATGGGATGCCCCCTCAGTTGGCACAAGACGGTGTTATCTGAGGTCAACACCTGGTTAGGTTTCCAGGTCAATCCATGCGGACCCGTGGTCGACTTCCCTCCAGATAAGAGGAAGACACTTGAGGCACTCCTTCAGACCATTGCTGCGGGCAACACCTTCACGGTGAAGGAGATTGAGAGAGCACTGGGGCGATTAAATTGGGCAACGGCAGCTTGGCCCCTCAGTCGCCCTTTTCTTCAGCCATTTTGGGCATGGAAATCCGCGACGACTACCTCAGGGAAGCCCGGCAAGCTCATACGATCCTTTTCAAAGCTTCTCCTCCAGCTGCTTCACAACCCCCAGATCCAGCCCTGCCCTTACGACCCTGCCTCCAATTGGTGGGGTGCCAGTGATGCTAGTGCACACCCGGACGATGGGGCCTACATTGGGGGGTGGATTGCAGATTGTGAGAACCCATCAAAGGAACAGACCTGGTGGTTCCATTACAAGATACCCCTCGAAGACCATCCATGGGCTCACAAGGATGGTGATCCAACCAGACGCATTGCGACCCTCGAGATGTTTGGTACATTGATTCTTACCCACTTCCTTCTGGCTTTGGGTGGGAAATCTCTGCTTCGTACCCGTCTCAGCCTCATTTCAGACAATCAAGGCAATGTCTTTGCCCTGTTGAACCAGAAGACGAAGCACATGCCTACCTCAGCTTTCCTAATGCAGCTCATCGCCATGCTCTATGTTGCTGGGGTTCAACTGGCGCCTTCACACATGAAGCGGGACTACAACAAGTGGGCGGACGAACTCACCCACCCAAACTTCACTGGTTTTCATCCTGATCGACGACTACCAGTGAGTGAAGCTTTTTCCCATTTTAAATTTCTCTGGGCCCTTCTGGATGACCAGATGAGTGTCCCCACCTTTTCAGGAAATTCAAAACGTCGTAAGACCGACTCTCACGCCACCTAAGGTCCTTCGGGAGCCAGGTGGTTGCGGCTGACTTTATGGTGTACAGTGGTGTTTTCCCACCTACAACCCTCTTTTTCCTTTCCTTACTTGCGCGAGCTTCACGCTCCGGCGGGTTGGGTGGATTTTGACGTGTGACACCACCACTGCAGTTCAGAGTTTCTGTGAAACCATTTGTGATTGATGCGATTGGCATCTGACAGAAACACAGCCGCAAAGCCAACTGCATAACAAAAGGTGCTGACTGACCGATGCAGTTGCTTTGTTCCGTTTCTGTCATTTTCAATTCTATTCGGGAACACTGATAAACATTAATTTTGAAATGTTGTGAAATGTTGTGAATCATTTTTCGTAGTCAGCCTGGGTTTTCACGGCCATTTGGGCGCCAAGGCAACACTCGTCGCAAGGTCGACTTCTTGCAGGACCAGCTGACAAAGCGAGATTTCACTGTGTCCTGCCACGCAGCTGCACCAGCTCAGAGCATCTCAGAGCCAGAGCTAGTGACGATATGCATCGATGTGCACGTTGCAACGTTGTACGATGCCATACAAAATCCCAGCTCATGTCAGCAACATTGCATGGTGGTACATGGTGGTATATGGTGGTACAGCATGCTTATCTTATAGTCTCTCAGAATATCTTGGAATTTGACAAGGCTGCAGTCAAACGCTTTCACTTACTAGGTAGCCAAGAAAAACTGGGGAACATGTATGAAAATGTGATTTCACTGTGTGATCCTCATGTTCCAAGGCATGCACGCGGACCTAGACCAAAAGGACTTGTGTTTTGATGTGTTTTGTACTTCCACAGTTGGAGCAAGGTGTTTGGTTCCAACATGTACAGAAATCATCAGAATGCTCCGAGTAGGAATTGGATAGTTTGTGCTGATTTGTGCTGTCTGTGCCCCCAGTTTTACATCCAGACCTTAGAGATGCTTTGGCAGTGTGAGGAGCGTGATCTTGTCATGCGAGAATTCCGCTCTGGTTCTTCCCGTATTTTGATCTCCACCGACCTTCTTGCACGTGGCATTGACGTGCAGCAGGCCAAGCTTGGACTTTCTCATCAGACCCAAACCCTGTCAGCGCTTTGAGAAGTTCAAAATAACAAAGGGAGTATCCGTATCCATAGTATCGATCCTATCCATGAACGTTTTCATGTGGCTTGAAATGTAAAGGATTGTAAAGGCATATAGCCTGCTGAGGTGCAATGCATCCAGTCATGTATGTAAATAGCTGTAAAATATTGTAAATACATGTAAATACATCTATAGAGGTGTGAGTTGATGCATGGATGCATCCGCCTGCATTTGTATGAACCCGCGCATGTATGCATGTCCAAAGTTCAATGCCATTCAAAGGAATGAGATGCAGAGCGATCCCAGCACTTTGATGCACTTTGCGCGTGGAAGTATCGCATGTATTTGTCATCATTTGTCCAAAACAGACAAACTGCTTAGCACATCTTAGCGCCCCTTTTGAAACCCTTAGAAATTGAAATTGGAAAACCAAGTATGTTTAAGCTACAAACGGAGTGGAGCACTTTCAGCCCAACTATGACCCCTTGGCCATCGTGATGCCGATAACATCCGATAACTGATACAGGAAAAGAAGCAGACAAAGCATGATAAAGCATGTGTATCATGTCTAAATTAGACATGTCTTTGAGGCGCGAGTCAATCACGGGCCGCCCCCCAATTGGGAGACCGAAATCAGAATGAACAAATGGAACCATTCGTAGAGCCGTAGATACAAAAGACATCAAAAGACATCAAATTCATTACTGTGAATTACTGTGCTGTAGCCACGTTTTGCATCATGTTCGACGGATGTAATTCTCGAAACTTTGCAAAACTTCTGAAAATATCTTCTGGATTCCTAAACAATGTTGATGTTGTTGTTCTTCTTATTATTTTTACTTCTTCTTGTTCTGTGTGTTCTTCTTGCTATTTGTGCTGTTCTTCTTGTTGTTCTTGCTGTTGTCCGTGTTGCTGTTAACGTTGTTGTCCTTGTTGTTTTTTTCATTGTTGTTGATGTCGTTGTTGGTTTTTTTGAACCAAAATCATTTCTTCCTTGACCTGTTCCCCGTTTCACCATACATACAACAAATCACAACAATGTTTGCAGTGTGTTTGCGGAGGTCTTTGCGTACACAGCTGCGTTGCTTTCAAGCGCATTGTGTATACGCACCTTGTAATATGCATCTAATGTACAGGTGCATTCCTATGACAGGCAGTCAAGAACTGTCTTGAAACATTCCTTCTACCGAGTAGGCATACAAGTGTGACTGTCGTGACTCTTCTGATTATATTTCTGAACTTTTTGCCAAACATTCATGCCTTGGTGGCGCAGGTTTCACTAGCAACTTCGTTGCATTTGGATTTTAGTGTGTCTTGAGTGTGCACACATCAAGATTCGGCAAATTGGTTGCTCCAACAAGGATGGAAACAGTCAACATATCAGGCTTTCCTGGTGCGTTTGATGCATGTCAGTTGCGGTATGTTGCGCTATGTTGCGGTATCACACGGTTTTGTCCAGAATGAAGATTACAGCTGGATTTTGCTAAAAAGTCTTGTGTGTTGAATTTTTGCTGTCATGCCATGGGAAGGGTGTGTGGCACACAGCGTTGAACCGAGGTGATCAATTATGATCTTCCATCCAACATGGACCCCTTCTCAGAATAGAAGATGCACTTGTTTACATTTGGAAAAATGATGAGATCATGTTATGTGCAGACATCATCATTCATGTAGATCTCTAGTGAAATCATGAGGAGGATGTATTGTAGTTGGCAGGTCAGCTGTGAGCAGGTTAGAAATAGGGCATTCCATTTGAAAGTGTCTCCAGCAGCAATCTTCATCGAGGAGAATTACTTGCACAGGATTGGACGCAGCGGTCGGTTCGGTGCTAGACCTAGATCAGTCTCAAGAGATCAGCTCCAGGTTGATGAGGGCATTCCTGGATTTCTACTGCGAAGCGGCACGCAAAACTACAAAGGATCTACAGATAGAGAGAGAGAGAGAGAAAAAAAATAGATAGATAGATTGATTGATTGATAGATAGATAGATTATATAATAGATAGATTAGATAGATTAGATAGATTCGATAGATTCGATAGATTCGATAGATTCGATAGATTCGATAGATTCGATTAGATTCGATAGATTAGATAGATTAGATAGATTAGATCGATTAGATAGATTAGACAGATTAGATAGGTTAGATAGATTAGATAGATTAGATAGATTAGATAGATTAGATAGATAGATTAGATAGGTTAGATAGGTTATATAGATAGGTTAGATGGATGGATGGATGGATGGATCGATAGATAGATTAGATAGATAGATTAGGTATGATTAGATAGATAGATAGATAGATAGATAGATAGACAGATAGATAGATAGATAGAGAGAGAGAGAGAGATAGAGAGATAGAGAGAGATAGATAGATAGAGATAGATAGAGATAGATAGAGATAGATAGATAGAGATAGATAGAGATAGATAGAGATAGATAGAGATAGATAGAGACAGAGATAGAGATAGATAGATAGATAGATAGACAGATAGATAGATAGATAGATACTTGAAAGAATTGGGGATTCCATGTACCCATACTTTCATTGTATAGTACCTCTCCTACGGGTTATCATATAATTCACTAACTACTTTGGCTCAAGATGGTAAAACAGGCTGCAGCCACTGCCCGGGGCGCGTGTGTTGTAGGGTTATTGTTTTACTGTTCGTTTTGGGGATCATCTGACAACATCAACAGTTCAATTGGTTATCAGCCGTAGCTTGCTCTTGTTTTTGTTGACCCCCAAACTTCATTTCACATCTCTGTGGTTGGCGACTCCCTAAAAGTCCGCACATGGAAGAGGACCCGTACGAGTCCTTTGCTTCGCAACACGGTGACGTTGCAGGCAGGACTCGCGGGATCCGATCTGGAAAAACCGCTCGTTGGAAGCGGGAGGCGTATATACGCCATCGGGTTGCTAGGGGGAGGATCCGGAGCAGGTGACCTGGGAGCCGAATCCTGATTCATCTGGTGATGAGGTGGAGGTCATTGAGTACCCGGAGCCTCGGAGATCGCTTAGTGAGTTGGGTACGGTCAGTCTGGTTCCTCAGTCGGCGCTGTATCAGCCTGTGCGTGCAGTTGGACTAGCTCCTATAAGCCAAGTGGTTCATCTGACCCTTACGGTAAGGGTGGCAAGGCTGTTTCATCATCTTCTGCTTCAGTTGAGGCTAGGCCTAAGGCCGTGTCAAAGGCTTCATCTTCAGTGGTTGAGACTGGAACTTCATCCTCCTCGTCAAGGGGCCCAAGAGTTATCACGGTTGAGGACAAGAGTGAGACAGCTGCTGCATCAGCTTCAACTGCGGTTGACCCATATCGTTTCTCAGGCCCGCAGTGGCACAAGGCGTTTCCCTATCCTGGACTTCCAGCGGTTACAGAGCCTTTTGGTTTTCATCCTTGGGATCTCACCCCGGCAAAGTTGCACCCAAGTGTGAAGGCGTATCTGTGATCGGCAGACCAATCGTCGTTGATTAAGGTCGAACAGGACATTGCAAAATTGACTGGTTCTGCAGTTGTGCTGGATTGGCACCAAGTCCTCGACACAGACAGGCAGAGTTCTCGAAACGTGCAGTGGGTCGGACCGGACGGTCAGATTCCCTGGCGTCACAGAGCGACGCTCTTAGAGCTTAGCCATCTGTGTAGGGAATCTGCTCGTCCGGTCCACCTGGTGATCTGCAGCCACATTGAGACATCTTCAAAGAATTTGGAGAACGTCATCCACGCGACGGAGCAAAGTGGCTTGCCGGTTCAATTGGTTCTGATTACGACCAAACGCACGGGTCCACAGGGGAAGCTTGCTGCACTTCGCTCAGCGATCAGTGGTGATTTTTGCTTGTTCGACGACAATACAGAGATCATTGAAGAGTTCGTAGAAGCCAGTCGTCCTATTGCACAAGTTTTGAAGCCAAGAGCACGTCGATCCACGCTCTTGCCAGACAACTGCATCGGCTGGTCGATCTCATCTGATCCTTTGTATTCGACTGCAAAGCGGTTTGTAAAGTATTTTTCCAGGAGCAGTGCATGATTTGCCTCGCTGCTGTTAGGCTGCATCAGCGCCTCGGCAGGAGTACCGTGCTCCGGAACTTCATCGGCATTTTGCTGTTTGCAAGTCTTCAGGGTCTCGGCATTTTGCTTTGAGTTTGAGCCCAAGACTACAAGTTGAGTTCTCGGCATTTTGCTTAGAGTGTTTTTCAGAAGATTGGCACTTTGCCACAACAATAAGTCATCAGCCGTCATTGCCTTTGGACTTCATCATTTGGCAACATTCCCAATCCCTTAGTGGACTTTGATTGTGATTTGCCTTGAACGTTTTCTTTTGCACAGAGATCGCTTTTGCAGTTTCAACCGCAAGCCCAGGGTGTCTCCCTGCTGTTGCATCACAGCTGGATCGTTTCACCGCAAGCTTCAAGGTTGTTTCACTGCATTGTCAGCGGTAGTTTCACGCAAGCGCATTGGAATTTGGATTTTCATTTGAACTGAACATCTTTTAGCTTTTATATTTTGCAGTTGGTTGCATTGAATTTGCCAATTCAATTGGATATCCTGCACCCCTCACCGCATAGCTGCGTCAGCGCTTCAGTGAGAAGGGATTTGCTTGGTTTTCTTTTGGACTTTTGACCTCCGCAAACACCTTGTTTGGCTGCCGTGAGCGCCACGGTGCACTGACTAGTTTGGATTGTCCCATTGAATTGCGTGCCTAGCTGTTTTCTCTTGTGGACTTTCTGTTGCAATGTCAAGTTCAGATCCAACATCGAATCTCGACAGTTTGAATATCAGTACCGAATCAATGGACGTCCCAGCAGCAGTCGGAGAAGCTGCATCGAGCAGGAATGCTTCATCTACACCTCGGCGTGCCCATTCCAAAAGTGGTCAAGGGCAGGGACAGGGGAGGCGTAACATGTCTCAAGTTATCAAAAGTTTGCCAAAAGGTCATGATTCTGGTATATAGACGTTTGGCTGTTGTTTCAACTAGTCATGAAGTTGGTCTGGAATCCCAGCCATCGCAGTTGCCTTCAGGTTTTCCTTCACAGAGGCCCAATCTTCAGTTCACAACACTTTTGAATATCATGATCAGAGATCCCAACAAGTTCATGTTGGGGTTGATCCCATGGTGTTCTCAAATATGGTTGCTGAAGCTAGAAGGGTCATCCAAGAGTCAGAAGAGAAAGCCCAGGGGTTAGAGCAGTTAGCCCAAGAAGTTTACCAGCAAGCATGCATCCGCATTCAAGAACTTGTAGGACTTGCAGAAAGCTCTTACCAGTCCGACAGTAGCAAAGCTTCCGAGATTGAAAAGCTTCAACAGGATGTCCAATCTACCCGAGATCAACTCCAAGTTCAAATCAATCGCAATCAAACTTTGGATTTTCAGATTACTCAGTTTGAGTCTCAGATGTCCAATGTTCAAAATTTGTTTGGTCATAAGGATGCCGAAATCAACCGCCTGATGTCTGAAGTTTCCCGTCTTCGGTCGAGTGAAGCCCGACTTGAGGAGAGATTGGCTGCTTTGAGCGCCACTCCCTCAGTCGCAGCTCCAAACGTTGAGGCACAGATGAGGTCCAGTCTTGTTCACAGTGTGCCAGGGAATCTTGTAGGGACAGTTGATGGTCGAGTTGTTTATGGTCCGAATGATCCTGTTGCCAATGGTCTTCAATCGTCCATGGAACAAAGATTGGATTCAATGATGGCAGCAATTCAGAGTTTGTCAGACCGAATGATCAACTATGAGCAAACTGGTGCGGATTCCAATCCTGTTTGTCCCAACAACAGCCGCTCTCCACAGCCGTCAGGTCTCATCAACCCAATTGATCCTCCTGATCCACCTCCTGATGACGGTGACTGGCCAGAGGATGAGGGGGGTGATAGTGGTGATTTGGTTGTTGAAGAAAAGACAGAAAGGGATCTTGTTGACAATCACGCCCTCCAGAGTACAAAGTTAGAGCCATTGCCCAACAATGCAGCCGACTTCAGGGTTTGGAAAAACACTCTGATCTTGATGTTGGGACGCCTTGACATCAGCGGCATGGACTATTTGACAAATTGGATCGCTATTGCTTTTAGGGTTGACTCTGCAGAGGAGTGCTCAAACTCCTCAGGCCTTGTGCCGAGGCTTGACCGATGGCTCGCTGCTGAGCTTATTAAAGGTCTGAAAGGAGTTCCCGAACTGCAGTTTAAGATCCAGGGTTGCATCGAAAGTTGCACCCGTCAAAGCCAAGCACCCAGAGGCCGAGTTGTCATTCACATGATCTCCCGACATTTCGACTTAGACAGAGTCCGTGGGTCACTCATTACTTCTCAATCGGTATTTTTGGTGAAACTCAATGGGTACTCAGTTGCTATCAGTTGCTGATTTACAAGAGTTCTCATCCAATTTGATGAAGGTTTAAACCAGATTCCGAGTGAGCAGTGGCCCAATTAACGAATGCTTGGAGAAATCCTTTTTCACAAGCTGCGGACTGTTCGTCGTTTGGAGAGAGTGATTGATGATATCAAAAGACCCCCTGATAACTCCACTATGCGTGAGTTCAAGGGTCTTTGGGGAAAGCTGTAAGAGTTTTGGTTGAAGAAAGAGAAGACGTGAATGCTCGATCCATTGAGCAATCAATTCGCAGCAAGAGGAGAGATGACAAGCCAAAGGCGAAGACTCCTGCAGTTCCAGCCAAAGCTTCTCCTGCCAAAGCATCCGTTGCAGCCGCTATAAGCGCCCCAAAACTCAAAGATGCCCCCAAAGGGCCTCCCAAAGTGCAAAGGGCAAGTCAAAAGGAAAACCCAGGAAGCCGATGACAGTTGAGGAAAAGGCCATGACTCCATGCATATTCCATCAGATGCCCAATGGTTGTGTTCATGGGGATAAATGCCATTATAGCCATGTCAAGGCTCCTCCTGCAAAGCCCAAAGACTCAAAGGCCGACCCAAAGGCCAAGCCAAAGCCCGCAACTCCGAAAGTTGCAGCAGCCATTGCACTTGTTGCTGCTCTGAGCTCTTTTGTCACTCCATCCCAAACCATAGGAGGATTTGAGTGGGCTGCTGACACTGGCGCAGGTCGACACTTGGTGTCCTTTGAAGCCTTGCAGGAACAGGGATATCACAGATCCCTATTTTCCGGTTTTGCAAATGACTCCCACGAAAAGTTGAACTTCTCGACAGGTGGTGGTTTCAAGAAATCGTCAGACACCATTGGATTCAAAGACCAAGATGGAATTTTGAGTGATGCCAACCATTTTCTTTTGGATTCTTGTCCGATGGTCAGATCAATTGGCCTTGATGTGGAGCAGAATGGACTATAGGATTCATTTGGCTTCCGGGCTCATTGCCCTTTCTTGCTCGCGACCCCTCCAAATGCCAGCTCAACTGCGATGATGAGAACAAGTTTTATGCATCAAGAGTCACACAACATGTTCCATTTTTCAGAAACAATTTTTACCGTCATTCCTGGAATGCCTGCAGAACCCCTTCCCGGAAGTAGTGTCATTGATGTTTTGCCTCCATTAGATCCCGCTGCGGAGCCGGTTGATGTCCCTGAAGTTTTGTCAGTAGAGCCAGCCGTTGAGCCTAGCGAAGATTTTGGAAAGCCAAGCGATCCTGCATCCGTGGAACATGAAATCCTTTCTCCACCTCCGTTTGATCACAATTTGACTGATTTTCCGAAATTGTCCACATGTGATGTTTGCAATCGTGCCAGGCTTTACGGCAAAAGAGTCAAGAGTAAGAGAGTTGTCAATGAAGATCTTGATCTTGCGGAGCCCGAAGCTTTTGGACAGCAGTTGGCATGTGACCATTTGATTGTCTTCAAGTCTTCAAGAGGGAAAGAACATGCTGTCTTGATTGTTCAAGATCGTTTCTCAAAAGTTTTGCAAGCTTATCCAACCATTTCAAGAGAAGCATCCCAACTTGCCTCAAATCTCAAGCATTTTGTGGGTTTAAAATCAACTTCTTATACCATTGTTAGTTCTGATGCTGCCGGAGAAATCTTGAAAGCTGTCATCGAAAACAATTGGTTGCCAGAGAGTTCAGTCCCATCACGTTTTCCTCACAATTCAGTCTTGGAACGTGAGATGAGAACGTTTCAGGAGATTGCCAGGTCATTGTTTTTGCAAGCAGGTTTTGCAGCCAGACCCCAGCTCTGGCCACAGGCATGCTCATATGTTGCAACTGCCATGTCCGCTTTCTTGAAAGACAGTGAAGGGAGGACACGTTGGGAACTTGCCTTTGGAAAAGAGTTTCTTGGACCCCATTACTTCCTTGGTCAATTGGGATACGTCAGAACAAAAGATGCAGGAAAGTTCAAGTTCAGCCCAAATGCAGAACCTGCCATTTTTGTTGGATGGCGATTGGACTTTGGAATGAGGTATCGAGGTGTTTTGCAATTTGTTTTGTATTCCCACCTGCGTGAAAATGCATCATCCTATCCTGTATCTCAATTTCATGATGCGGAGGTTTACATGCCTGAAGATGTGACGCTTCCATTGGCCAGTGCAGCTGAAGCCGCGCTGAAGGAACCTGATGATCTTCGTCTCACTGAGCTTCATGACATTGATGCACTGTTGATGCAGTGCCTGTTCCTTTTGTTGATTCCGAAATCAAGCCAAAAACACGTAGGGTTTATGTCTCCTATGCCCGGATTTTCAAAATTGGTGCCACAAAAGGGTGAAGGGTTGTGAGAATGATACGTCGTCTCATAATCAAGAATGCATTGCACGGTTTGAAGAAGCCTTTTGTCGAAAGGATGCAGATGGTTCTTTCATTGAGCCTGAAGTGCATGTGTCATCAGACGTTCCTGCAATTGAGCCAATGCACATCAGAGATGAAGCTTCTGGTGGGGGGTTTTTCTGAGGAGTTAGTTCCCGAATGCCCGCCGCCATCGGATCTTGATGAATCATATGAAGCCAAATCTCCAATCAAAACTCCTCCTCATGCAGCTCTTCACGAGTTAGACACTGATGATGAAGCGGATGACAAGTCTCCTGTCACTGGTTTAGGTGCTGTAGCTAGTATTGCATTCGATGCTGCGGCCAGCCTACCGCAAGAAGATGTTAAATCAATGTTTCAGGGATCTTTCGATCAGGGGGGACAGACTGGCTGCCTCGGCGCCGCTGCCGCTCCTGAGAAGAAGCCTCCAAAACATGGCAAGGGAGAACATAACCACTCCGGTAAGGATGTTTTGTTCGAGTTTGCTTGCGCCAAGGATTCCAACCTTGGCAAAGTTGGACATGAGAATGGTTTGAGAGTCATCCGGCTGTGCAAAGAGGACATCAATTTAGAAGACCCTCATAGCATAGAGCAGCTTATTGCCCAGGTAGGTGCTTTGGAAGGATGCTCCATCCATGGATCCATCGAATGCAGGCCGTGGAGCCAATGGCAACACTTGAACCGGGCAAAGTATCCAAGACTTGCCGCAAAGATCGAACAAGTTTTGCTTTGGTAGAACAATTTATTCGTGTAGCCAACGTTTGCCTTGACAACGGAGGAGATTGCAGCTTCGGATGGCCGCGATACGGCACTGGCTGGGCGCTGCCATCAATTCAGTCATGGATCTTGGACAGAAACTTGCACTCTGCCACATTCAGTGGATGCACCGTCAGGGTTCAAGCCGACGGCCAGCCTGCAAAGAAGCCGCGGGGATTCATTACATCTTCATCGCGTTTGGCCAAGAATCTTGCAAGTTCGAAGTGTACTCACAGCACTCATGCTCCACTACAAGGTAAATGGACTAGGCTATCAGCTTTCTACCCAGAGCCACTTTGCAACATCATGATTCAATCACTATCTCCTCACATCATCAATCAACATGTGTGCTCAAATGCCATGCGTTGCCAGAGATCATCAATCTCACCGCCTCAGTTCCCCTTGACATAGCGATGTTTAATGTAGGATGCCAGGAAGTTGTTACTCCTGCCTATGTTCATCGGCTTTTGGATCGAAGTGAATGGAAGGACCGTCCAGAGGTCTTAGATGTAGATGCCATCAACTCGGAAAAGCAAGGACTTCTTGCAAACGGCACTTGGGATGAGTCAAAAATCCGTCCCAAAGCAGAGGTCTTAGCAGAAGCGCGTGCAAAGGGTCAGAAAATTCATGTTGGTGCTTTAATGGGTATAGTTAGCATCAAAGGGTATGAGAAATCCCCATCAGAGTGGATTATCAAAGCTCGCATTGTCTTCAGAGGTGATGCTGCGCGTGACGAAGCCAATCAGGCAGCTGTCTTTGATGAGCTAGCAGCGTCAGCACCTACGAGCCTTGGTGGTCTCAACATGATCATCGCGTTTGGACTTGTCAAAGGAAACACATGTTCAACTTCAGACTGCATCAAAGCATACGTCCAAAGTTTTCTTGACTCATCATGCCCAACATATGTTTTGCTTCCGGCAGAACTTGTGGCAGCTCATGCCAAGCACATTCACCTTTAAAAGAGCTTGGAGGTTTTGAGATGCCAGGACAACCCAGTTGCTTTCATTTTCCATCTTTGAATCTCGCCCTCAGTGTTTATGCTGATGATTTGACACTGAGCGGTCCTGAGAAAAATCACGGCATATTTTGGTCGACTTTGCAGAAGCCTGTTCAACTTGAAGACCCTGCTGAACTGTCAGAAGTACTCGACAGGAATCATGTCATGTGCGATGATGGGCTTGCTCTTCACTCTGCAGATTTTGCAAAGCAGTGTGTCAAACTGTACGAGCAGTTGTCCGGCAAGAAAGTCAAGCACTTCCGCACTCCTCATTGTGATGGCGTCGACACTGACGATCAATGTGTTGGACAGCTGTCAGCATCAGCTGGGAAGTTGGTCATGAAACTCATGTGGCTTGGACGAATCAGCCGTCCTGACATCATGGTTGCCATTCACACTCTTGCTGGAAACATCACCCGATGGAGCTCGAATGATGACAAGCGTGCGGCCCGTTTAGTTGGCTATATCGCTGCCACGTTGATTACGCTCATGTCATGCATATCAAGGACCCTCCAGCTAAGCTGTGGTTATCGCTTTGTGTTGACAGTGATTTTGGATCATCACCCGACATGAAGTCGACCAGTGGTTTCATCCTTGCTCTGGAAGGCCCAGACTCATTTGCCATCATCCTGTGGGGATCAAAAACCCAGAGGGCCGTCTCAAGGTCAACGACGGAGGCAGAGTTTGTTGCACTAAGTGCTGCATTGTTTGGTGAGGCCATTTCACTGTTGGCAGTGTGTCAGCGTGTGATTGACCCTGGACTCATTCTTAAGTGTTTTGAGGACAACCAGGCAGTGCTGGCAATAATTGCCAAAGGCTATAGCCCTAAACTCAAGCATTTTGCCAAATTTCAGCGCATTAATTGTAGCGAGCACATGCGAAGCCTTTTCAGCCGAGGATATCCTCATTCAGTACATCCAGACTAGCCATTAAAAGGCGGATGTCATGAACAAGGCACTGCCTGTGTCTATGTGGTCAGGTGTTTTAGATTTGCTCTGCGTCAAGCCCATTTCAACCTCTTAGGTTTTGAACTCTGGCTGCGAGAATCCGCCCATCATGGCAATCTGGTTGCGCGATCTCATAACTCTGTAGTTCAACTTGTGTACACAACCTCAACTATTGTAATTCAGTTTCAGTATGTTGCGCGCCACTCAAGGCACAGTTTTGTGGATGCAACTAAGTTTCATCTACAATCTCAGTCTTTGTATTTTGCTTTGTCAATTCCATTGCACTTCATCACAACTGCCGAAGTTTAATTCAGCATGTTGCAGTCGCTAGCGCGCAGTTATGTGGATGTAACTAAGTTCCATCTGCACCTTTTCTCTTCGACTTGCCTTGTCAT